GTTTATTCTGATTTTGCATCAAGATGACAAGAGGACAAGATCTAAGTGACTTTGAAAGAGGTTTCATTATTAGAGAAGCCTCGGGCACAAACACTGCTCCACTGGTTGGAGTTTCAATAACAGCTAAAGTCATCGATGCTCTGACTCTGACTCACCTGGATGCCAGGTGACTCCAGCTGCTGTGTGTTCAGACAGATGATCCATGTGGAACATCCTGGTATCGTTCCTGACTGCAGCTCATCCTACATGAGAATGAAGACGGTACAGAACCAAACACAACCTGCAAACTTTAGATAAGCGACGTCTTATCGACCTCAGCAGTAACACTATGCATGTAAATCCGCTCTGATCAAGCAGGACCTCGAGGTGTCACACAAAAACCAACGTTTTCTACTATCGCTGCAATCGTCTGGGCAAATATTAGCTGAGGAAATCTCCTAAAACACACCGATGCTCCTCCAGTGTTTAGGATCCAGATCGTACTCTCATAAAGCAGAACATTTGAAACGAGGAGATCCGCTCTGAGAGGAGACGGTTTGATCCTCGTGGCTTCACCCAACATCTCCAGACTCGGCTGTTGCAGTCACGTTGGTAATTGAAATTGTTGCGGACTGCTCGCAGACTACTTAAGCATATAGGGAATCCAGATGTTTTGGATTGTTGAGTGTTTCTGTCTTTGTGAAGCGCTATGAGATGACTTGTTGTTGTAAATATGTGCTATACAAATAAAATTAAATTGAAATAACACATTGTTGGTTTAACTGTTTCACCTGCTGCTAACTTCCTCACTTGACCAGGAGGTGGTTTTCTTTGGTGTAAATAAACAAGATAAACATACTGATGTTTTTTTTAGTAGGGATATATCGACGACCTCATCAGTATCGGCCGATATCAGTGTTATTTCTGATATATCTGTATCAGTCCGATGAACAAGTTTAAGCTGATGATTGTCTAACATCAGCGCCTTCGTCTCTACATTTGACATCGCTGCTGTTTCACAGATGTTTTTACTTAAATGGTTAAATGTGTTAAAATTAGGGGCAAACAAAAATTGAATATCGACATCGGGGATATCGGTTATCGGCGATATCAGAAATCTTAATATCGGTATCGGACAGAAATGTTAATATCCTGCATCACTATTTTTTATTATGTTCTTCTGTAACCGTGTGCTGCAACAGACTGACGTATTTTTCTCTGTTTCACTATCATTTCCCCTCTCTTTACATTCTCTCTCTCGATATAGTGACAGTTATTGTTGCTGCTCTGCTTGTCAGGATGAAACTAATAAAAAGCTGGTGGTTAGAGCTGCTCGGCTGTGTTTTCCTGTTTCGTTCTGCCACATGTACAGAAGCTGTGGTTGTCCTCTGGTTTAGCTGCTCGCTTTCCTTTGCATGTGATTCTGTCTCGATAACGTCGGCTTGTGGTCGTCGCCGTCCTTTGTGGCGACTTGTTTTCTCTGTTTCTATATTTCGCTGCTCTACCATCTTGCCAACTGATTGCATTTGAAAATTAGTCACCTGGCTAATACTGGCTCATGTACAGAGATGTTGATGAATGTGTGATGTCCATATGAATAAATAAAGGACAGGAGAAGAAAAAAACACGACTTCTGCATTTAGATCTGTTGGAACGACATCAGCAGAAAGATTGGAAACTGTGCTCGACTGCGTATATTTGATGATGCTTGTGCATCAGTGAGAGAAAGGAAAGAAAAAACAGAAGAGCAGCTCTTCCTCAGGTGCGTGAGGATGTCAGTGCAGGACGTGATCAGACTGCCGGCGAGAACACGCTGTCAGAAATTAGGGAGGAATATTACGGGAGAGTCGCGGTGCATAAAGCCTCATTACAGAGATGAGCGCACATGTGCCCGTTCAGTGGTGCAGAAACCGGAGACACTGCTGCACAGATGGATAAAGAGTGAGATTGTCAGATGAGGCCTCCTCGTCACATCCTCCACAAGTGAGAAAACGCGTTTGTAAAAGAGAGCGTTTGTGTCTGAATGCAGTCACACCGCGGGGGGCATTCTGATGGCGTGCTTTGCACCTACTTGCCCCCTGAGAAGAAAAGGTCAAATCATTACAGCGTTTTTCTAAATGATCACGTCGTGCTTTGGTGAAACACTGGTGGTCTCTTCCAGGATCCCGACTCCCCCATCTCCAGGGCACAGGGGGTCCCAGACTGCAGAATGAAGTGAGTCACATGTTGTACCAGATCCCCCAGTGAAGCACCTACTGGACGCGTCAGACGGAGCTCTGCAGCATCATCAAACCACCAAATGGGAGAATTTCTGTTGGAAGGCGAGTGTTTCTCCCTCCAGGAGAGGTCCAGAGACTCAGAGAATCGATGCCAATCTGCACCGAAGCTGCTCGAGCTTTTCTAACAGTGACAAATTCAGAGTCAATCCAAAGCCGTGGATTTAAAAGAGAGCGACCAGATAGCGTGACCAGCAGCACACAGACAGTCCTGTCAGCAGTGAAAGTCCTCCTTAAAGCTACATGAAGCCACAGGTGACCAGAGAAGGACGACAGCGACGTGTTGGCGTGCTGGACGCTGGCACGCCAGCCAGGTGCTGGAATGTCCACCAACATTTTCTAAGAAACTGCTTCAGACAGCTGAGGATGGACACGTCCGACAGCGAGCTCCTGTCTCACAGAATTTCCTCCAACTTCACCTTCAGGAAGAACAACTTTCAGCCGGCAGCGTCTATCTGACCACTACAGAGGGTTCTTGGTAACTCCATGATGTCTGTGCTGCATAGAAGTTCATAAAACACGACATGCTGCATTTATATTCTTCTTCTGCTTTATATCGAAACCCTGAAGTGTCTGAAAAAGGTTTTGCTGTGATATCTGTGTAATACTGAATTTCTTTTCACCGCCAACATTTAAATAATACCTGCTGTCTGTGATTTAGCTCGATATCAAATAACAGAATAAAAAATGATTTACCACTTTTCAGTCCGTAAATATCTGTAAAGATGTATTTTATGGATTATATCTAATTTTTCTTTCAAATAACAGGAAATATCTGTAAATAATCTTTTTGCTGATTGAAATACAGAAAACGTGTGATTTAAGGTCAAATAATGTAAATTACTATTTATACAGATTTAGAGTTTGATGGGGAAGTTTTGGTCTGATTACGGTTAACATGTAAATTAGTGCTTTACTAGTTTTCATCTGTAATTTAACAAACTAAAGGGGAATCTGAAAAATCTGAAGAAATTTAAATACAGTAAAAAATAGTGTCAGTTACAGTCAAACCTTGTGAATGAGTAACCTACATGATGTAGAGATTATTTACAGTTTTTGGCCTGTTTTTTATGGTTAACATAAAAATTGATTTTTCTTCAGTAATTTTACGAGAAATTATCAGTAATTTACGCTAAAAAATAATAAAAATAATTTGAATATAGGAGAAAACAGTGTAATTTTATGATTAAATGTTGTAAATGAACATTTTGCTGATTTCAAAATACCGATTATTTTTATTTAATCATCTTTAAGTCCTTATTGTACCACTTTTACTTTCAAATAAGAGTAAAAAATGTCTGTAAAATAAGACATTTTTAAAATATGCAATAAAAATAGTGTAATTTACAGTTCAGCTGATGATATTTGTCTAAAATAAAACCACGTCGTTTAAATATTTAAAAAAGTCTTATTTTTTTGCAGGGTAAATTGAACCATTTTGTCCTTTGATAACTGTTCATGAGCACAAAATGAACTAATCTCGTCATTTAGAGGCTCCAGTTGGTTTCTTTTTTTAATGCTTCAAAACACTGAATTTTAATATTGTCATTATTAATATTTCTTTACTCACACACTGGAGGGCTTGATTAAAAACGAGGAGCTCCACTAATAACAGCTGAGCTTTTCTTTTCTCATATATTTATTTATTTGCTGTCCTGTGTGTGTGTGCAGCCTGCAGCAGCTGCTTTGTTCCTCATAAATAGGTGTGTGCGGATGATGCTCACGAACGCGCTCCGTCCAACACCTCAGACCACGTGACCAGCAGCAGGCGCACAAAGCGGAGCCTTAAAACCGCCCGCTGCCTCCGACTCACACACACTCTCACACACACTCACCGCCGGCTGCTGCTGCTGCTCCTCCACCGTATCCGACACCGGCGGTATCCGGGAGTCAGCGCCGCCTCGGTCCTCCGCTCAGTCACCAAAAACAACAACAGTTCTCACTCGCTTCCTGTTTTTTTTAATTGTTGTTGTTGTTGTTGTTTATTTCCTGGAGTTACTGCAACTGTTCCTGAAGAGTGAAGACAAGAAAAAAAACAGACTCCGAGTTGAATCTTTTTATTTTTTTTCCCGTCATGGATCGGTGCAGGAGGAAACCAAGGTATGTACTTTGTCCTTTCTTTAAAATAAATAAATAAATGTTAATTATTATTATTAATTAGTCCTATCTAGTGCCAGTATTCTGACTCCTATTAATGATGTTCCTCCTCCTCTACAAACGTCTTGTTCCAAACTTGACTCTTAATAATTAACGCCATCATCACTGACATCAGGACGCTTCATTGGACAGATTTGTTCACTCTGTGTCTCCCTGGATACCTAATTAATCCAGTGATTAGTGCAAAAAAAAAGCTTAATGCCTAATGACCTTCTTTAATTAATAAGCGAGCCCTGGCTGTCCTACATACTTAATGATTTCCCCGGAGGGCGTACAGGTTTGTCATCAACTGTTCAGTTTCCCACTATTGTCTGGGATGCATCTGTTCTGGAGTCAGCTGGCTGATGCACACATTCCCCCAATATCTCCCGGCAACAAATGCATCTTCTGCTCTATTAATCATTCATAAATATTGAGATTGTTTCATGTCATATGTGGACATTTTTCTCAGCTGTCACAGGAACACAGTGTACCTTCTCAGCTCATCTACTTCGTTCCTCATGGTGCTTTCTTTCCTCTGTAGGTGTCCTTTTACATGCGTGTAACGCCGTCGCGCCTCACCCCTCTCCACTGAGCATCTCTGCAGCCATGAAGCTGGCTTTGCACAGGATAGCAGGCACCACCGTCAGCACCTTGACAACAGGTGTCCAGTACCTCGGCTCCAACGACGCCATCTACGACGACCCCGCCGCCGCCTCCAGCCTGAACAAGAATGGGTTCCACTTTGAGAAGCCCCACTCTGCCTCCATCAGCAGCTCCTTCCCTGGAAACAAGGAGATCATCTACAGCGCCCTCGCTCCCGTTTTCCCCACCAACGTGTCCGACTTCCTGCCGGGTAACGTCACGTCTGTGGCCAGCGGAGGGGCGGCGCAGTGCGGGGAGAACTTTGAGGACAACATGGAGTGTTTTATGATCCTCACGCCTGGTCAGCAGCTCGCCATCGCCATCTTGGCGCTCACGTTGGGTACGTTTACGGTGCTGGAGAACCTCATGGTGCTGTGTGTGATCCTGCACTCCCAGACACTCCGATCGCGGCCTTCCTACCACTTCATCGGCAGCCTGGCGGTGGCTGATCTCATAGGAAGCATCATTTTCGTGTACAGCTTCCTGGACTTTCACGTCCTCCACAGAAAGGACACGCCCAACGTTTTCCTCTTCAAGCTGGCCGGGGTCATCGCCTCCTTCACCGCCTCCGTGGGCAGCTTGTTCCTCACCGCCATCGACCGCTACATCTCCATCCACAGGCCTCTGGCGTACAAGCGCATCGTCACCAAGAACAAAGCCGTGGTGGCCTTCTGTATGATGTGGACCATCTCCATCGTCATCTCGCTGCTGCCGCTGCTCGGCTGGAACTGCAAGCGCCTCGGCACCGTCTGCTCTGACATTTTCCCTCTGATTGACCAGAAGTACCTGATGTTCTGGATCGGGATGACCAGCATCTTGGTCCTGTTCATCATCTATGCCTACATCTTCATCCTGTGGAAGTCCCACCACCACGCCGTCCGCATGCTGAGCCGCAGCTCCCAGAGGAGCGTCATCGTCTACACCGCCGAGGGGACTAAAGTGCAGACGGTGAGGCCCGAGCAGGCCCGGATGGACCTCCGTCTGGCCAAAACCCTGGTCCTGATCCTGGTGGCCCTCATCATCTGCTGGGGCCCGCTCCTCACCATCATGGTGTACGACCTCTTCGGGAAGGTGAACGACTTCATCAAAACTATCTTTGCCTTTTGCAGCATTCTCTGCCTGCTCAACTCCACCGTCAACCCTGTGATCTACGCCATGAGGAGCAAGGACCTGCGCCGGGCCTTCCTCAACATCTGCCACGTGTGCCGGGCAGCGACGCAGCCCCTGGACAACAGCGCCGAGAGCGACTGGAACAGCAGGAGCGTGAGAGCCACAGCGGGCAGGGCGGGGAAGGACGGCGGCGGCGCGAGCACAAAGACTCGGATAAAAGTGGCCCAGGTTACCGTTTCTGGAGGGACTGAGAGTTCTAACGCAGACCCGGTCTAGAAGACGGGCAGCCCGGCTCTGGTTCAACTGTGAAGTCAGTTAGTGTAGAATAGCTCCCATCCTTTAGTCCGCTGCTCTGTGACTGTGAAACGTGCCAAAAAATGACTTAGGTCAAGTTTCTGTTGGTTTTTTATGCTGAAATCCGTGATATGAAACCGTTGTGCTCTCTGTGTGGTGGAGGCTCTAGAGCTGCTTTATTCTGTTACTGAGGAGCGGGTTGCCTGGTTGCACAACACTGACTGGCAACGAGAATCTAAATTAAAAGAATGCTGTTGAATCTCTACGAACCAGGGCTTTTTCTCTCTCTCTCTCTCTACAACAACCGTTAGGAAGACGATGTTAGGCTTTGTCATCTTTGCTGTCGTGTGAATGTGCAGATTTCAGCTTTAAGGTCCAAAAACCGGCTTCTTCCTTTCGTCTCTTCTGTTTTTTTAACATCACCTCATTCAGCAATATCGTGATACAAGGTGGTGAAACTGTGTCTACCTTCATGCAACGTGTCCGTTCTACAGGAGAGAACGCTGCTCGTGAGTAAACCGGCATCTCATTAGTGATTCCTAAATGACTGTTGATGACTCTGTGAGACCATGATATTGTGACGTTTGGCAGTCGTTTTATAAAAATCCCGCCCTTTGCTTTTATTTATTTATTTATTTTGTCCTACTTTGAGACGACACGACCGGCTCTCTGATCAAACTTTTCGTCCTGTGGTGATTTGGGAACGTTACGTAGCTGCTTTCGACAGGTGTGCATATAAAACAGTGACAGCGTTGCGTGCAAAAGCTATACCGCCATTTTCCTGTGAAGCATCCATCGTGCCATTTTGTCCGATGAAAGTGTGTATACGCGAAAAAAATATGTGAAATCTGTCTATTTTTATCATATAATTTTGTCAACATATCTGGTATCTTTTTTCAATAAAAGGATGAAACCAGCCTCTACGGGGTGTGTGTGCTTGTTTTTGGGGGGATGTGTGTTTACTGCTGATATTTAAGCTTGTGATCCATAAACACGTCTGACTCCTCGTTACAGACTCTAGTCTCCAGCAGTGAGACGCACACAAGTACAGTCTCAAGTTACTTTACTTGGACATTTCCATTTTCTCCACCTTTATGCTCCTATTTCACAGCTCAGGGCCAAATATTACACATTTTACTTCCCTGCTTTCATTCTTCTAACTGTAGTTCTTGGCTACTTTGCACATTTGCTTTAATAATCCTAAATATAATCAACACATAAATCCCAATGTGATGCTATAAATCAAGATAACACTTTGTTGATCCCTGAGGGGAAACTGTCCAACAGATGAACTCCATAAAACAGCAAAGAAATGTGATAAACACATGAATTCTTTATTAATTATAATCTGACAGCATCCAGTAAATCAGGGCAGTAAGAAGCATCGCTCTGTCGAGAATTTAGATGTCAGTGATTATAAAGTTGTAAAGTTAGAACCTTAAGTCTACTGATTTTAAATTATTTGGCAATAATCAAACCATTTATTTGCATCATATACACACCTACGTCCTGCCTGCATATGACACAGATGTTTAAAATATCTATATTTTTAAAGATAGCCGGCATTGTTCTTAGAGGTACTCAGGTTAAACATTACATTGATCAGAAATACGTCTTTCTGCATAATTAGTATTTTCACTGTTTTTTTATAGCTGGTTCCTTTGTCATTTTACTGAAGTGTAACTTGACCTTAATAACAAAGCATTTATACACTGTGTACAAGATCTGAGAACTTCTTCCACCTCTGACAGCCTCCTCGAGGAGAGAGGTCAGTTCTGACCAGTTCAACCTGATTATTTTGTGATTTATCAGCACACAGTCGTTCAATCTAAACATTTTAGTCATGTTGTGTTACGTAATGGGCTGGATAATCAATACTAGTTAATGAGAAAGTCCCTGGTTCACAGAGTGCACTTAACTGCTGCTTGTGTTTAGTTTAGTTTAGTTTTTTAGTGTAACACTGCCTCCTGGTGGCGACAATTAGAACCAGCCTTTATTTTCCAGTATCGACTGATCTAATCAATGAAGTTCATCAGGTGCCAGAATGGGGGCACAAGGGAACCAAATTAGATCAGAAATTTAAATTCCAGACGATGTAGGCTACATCTTCAATGACACATCAGTCTATTTTGCACTTCTCACATTTTTAGGATTTAATATGCTTAATATGCCAAATTTCCCCTTAGTCGTATCACAAATAGTGTAATTACAAATTTATACTAAAAAAGGAGTAAAAATACATTTTTTCAAAGAGGCATGAATAATTTCATAATGATTGAAATTATAAAAAACGAGAAGAGCCAAGTTTATAATGGAGTCTTCCCCGTGTTTCACTACATTACCCAGCATGCCCAGCTCTGTGTTTCACACGTGACGTCAGGAGCCGGAGAAGCCGACAGCCTCATATCACAAACAGGCAGCTAAGTTGCGCTAGCTCGCTCCTCTGTCTAACAGTTGGCCCGCAGCTGGCTCATCCGCTCTTCAACTTTTGGGAAGCAACTTTTACAACAACACGAGTTGGTGACCGCAGTCGGACGGACCGAGTTCTCCCCCAGAAGGTAAAAGAAAAACAGTTTTTATTCAAATACACACCAGATTGCACTCTGCTGCCAGTGGCAGCCAAAGCTAGCGTTAGCTTTGTTTTCTTTTTGAATGTTGGCTAGCAAGCACAGCTAACGTTAGCTTGCTAGCAAATGTTTAAAGCCGGAGCTGCGCAGTATGTTTAGCGTGTGAGCGTCGGCAAAGCAAACGGTCGGTAGCGGAACAATCCACGCTGTGATTAGCGAAGCGTGTTAAAAAACAACAGCGGCTAGCAGTCACCGAACTACCTGATGTTATCGTCTCACTGCTGTCATTACTTGTCTCGGTATTTTGCACCCCCCGGTCTCCCTTCAACACACTGAAGTCATGGCGTGTGGAGCCACCCTGAAGAGGACCATGGATTTCGATCCGCTAATGAGCCCGACGTCCCCCAAAAGACGGAGATGCATCCCCGTGTCCCCGTCGTCCTCATCCCCTAGGAAGTACCTGAGCATGGAGCCCTCGCCATTCGGGGAGTCGTCGTCCAGACTTAGTGCAGGTAACGCTGCCTGGAAGCGGCTCAGTGGCCTGCTGGGTGACCGGCCGGAGACCTGAGGGGCTTCAGCAACACGTTGAGCCACAAAGCACACATCAGCAGACAGGCTCCTTAACGTGACACATGTTCACACTAATGGACCTCTGTCTGCTTCTTCTGACCCTCTAGAACAAATCCTCAACAGCATCAAACAGGAATACAAACGCATTCAAAAGAGGAAGCATCTAGATGGAGGCTACCACCAGTCAGAGTGCTGCTACTCTCCAGAATCCCCGTCCCAGTCGTCTACTATGAATGTGTCCAGCATGCCAGGTGGGTGGAAAAAAAACAACAACAAAAACACACTGATTTAGAATAACTGGTCCTCCACCAGTCACTAAACAGCACCTACACCGTGGTTCTGAGGTTTTCTGTCTGATTCCTACAGGAACATCCTCTGGAGGGGTGTCTCCGACCAGGAAAGAACAGCCGCTATTCACCCTCAGACAAGTGGGGATGATCTGCGAACGCCTGCTGAAAGAACGGGAAGAGAAAGTCCGGGAGGAGTACGAGGAGACCATGACTTCAAAGTTGGCCGGTTGGTGCACCGAACACACAAAGAAATCAACCGTCGCTCCACACCGTCACATGTTCAGAGTAGAAAACCAGAAAGTCCAAACATGTGAAAAGCTGGAACCAGCAAAACAGTTTCTCGATCAATTAATCAGCGTATGTTATAATAATCCTGCTGTTATTTCACTGCCAGAGCTTGTAGTTCAAGTTCAAAAACCATCAACCTGTTGACACCTTAACAAGACTTCTAATTGATGATTCTCACAGTTGTCATAAATTTTCAGCCAATCAGTCGATTAAACTCGTAGCCAGCTGAGCTAAACGGCTCTGACTCCACGAGCCAGACTGGAACCGACTTCAGTAAATCATATTATTGATATTACGGTGGAGAAACAGTCCTCCAGGGAAATAAGGGTGTGAGAACCAATTTCCAGTCATATAATTTTCCCTTTAGGCGAATCCGGTAAGCAGGAACGATAACGACTGATTTCTCGTCCTGTGCATTTCAGAACAATACGACACCTTTGTGAAGTTCACACACGACCAGTTGATGCGACGATTCGGAGAGCAACCTGCGAGCTGTGAGTCCTCCTCTCTCTTTTATTTGAAATGATTTCCACATTCACTGGCATAGTTGGAAAGTTCCTGAGCTCTGCCTTTGAAGTTTGAACTAACAAGTCTGGCTTCTATCTTTTATTTTATCTCCCGTTTCTCCAGATGTTTCCTGAGTGTGGCACAGAACTTCTTTTTTTTTTTTCTTTTTCTTTTTTTTTTGCAAGACGGCCTTCTCTTGCTGCAAGCTGTCATGTGATATCTCCAAGAAAGGAAAAAAAAAACAAACAAAAAAACTCATCATCGTAAGAGATTCAGTTTAGCTAGTTTAAATGAAACTTTTCTTACTGTGCCATATATCTGTCTTTGGGCAAAGGTTTATATGAAGCTGTTGTTACCACTCTGTTGTCAGCGACTAGGTGCTTCCTGATGTACATGAATGGACCCTCTCTCTACCAGTGGCCTACGTTCCTCCAGCTGTATCTTACAGTTATCTCACTTTTGTAATGATTCCCAGCATTCCAGGCTTTGTCACTTGTTTCTGTTTGTTACGTGTAAATACGATGAAAGCGGTGCAGAGTTTTACCCGAGGTTTGCTGGTCAATCTGGAAGGAAGTGGAAGAAACGCCAGCGGAGCGGAGAGACTACGTTTGGAGTGAATCCTCTGTTCGTGGCTTTTTAAATTGAGCATAAAGTGGGCTGATTTGCTTCCCTCCCCCACCTCCCCCTCTCCCCCTCTCCTCTCCTACCAGTGTTTTATTTATTTTGAGTTTTGTTCTGCTGGTATCACTTTGAAACAAATGTACTTATTGGAAAGAAAAAAAACAATAAAAGTCTTTTAAGAGTTGGCGACTGTTCTGAAGGATTCTGTGGACGGATGTCGGGATTACGCCGGCGGAGAGTCGACTGAAGTGAAGCCAAACGTGTGGAGAAGGTGCCAGAGGATCCCAGAGGGCGGTGTTTGGTGAATGATTATCTACAACCTGGAGTCAGTGAGCTCACACGTGTCATGTTGGAGACCAGGGCTGTCAAACTCACGGCCTGTGGGACGACTTTTTGTGGCCCCTAACCTAGCTTTAAAGTTTAACATTAGTGCGGCCATGTGCGTGTTTCTCACCTCCACCAGTCGCTGCCCTGGGCGTTTTCTATTTTTGACCACCTGTGGGCTACAGCAGCTCAGCCAGCGTGAATTAGCAACGTTAGTCATTTGATTTGGGAGCATCACTGAGTCAAGAGAACATCCATCCTGTCACCCAGAGCAGATGTGTTTTTCTAACGGTGTGAGAAGCTCTTCTCCACCATGAACTTTAATAAATCAAAGTTCAGGTCCAAACTCACTGATGAGCATCTTCAAGCCACACTGAGGGTCTCAGCTGCCTCATCCCTCAAGCTAAATATGGCTCAGCTGCGTAAGAAGAAGTGTAGGTAGGAGAAGCCTCTGTTCAGAAGAACCGGTCATGTTCAGAATTGTTAATAAAGATTGAGAAGACTGGATCAGTCGTACTTTTTTTGGAGTACGTGATGCAGCCCAGCCTCAGCCAGGCTCTTATCTCCAGCAGGTAAGTTGACTCTGAGACCCCTGAGCCTGCACTAAACTCTCATAACTGTGTCAAAGTTAAATATTTACAAGTTTTTCCTTCTTGCCTTCGATTTTCATTGATCTGCTCGTGCCTCCTTTAGCGGATCTATAAAGTTTCGGCCTTTGTCTCGGTGCATCCCTCCCTGCTGTCTGCAGCAGAAACAACTCAAACAGCGATAAACTACTCTTCACACGCAGGTTGTAATCTCAGATCGTGGATTTTTAAGGATATTATTGCTACTGAAAACCCTTCCTGCAAGTAAATGGAGTCGGTTCTTTAGATTTAGTTGAAATAAGAAACGCAAGAAGTCTGAATCTGTGTTTTGGGGTCTTCAGGTTTGAGGTGTAACATCGAGTTCTTCTTAAAACATGACTAAGGATGAGATGTATGTCAGCAGGCCAATCAGGCATCAGTCGTTTGTGTCTTTTATTAGAGAGAAAAATACAAATCCACGTCAAAGTCGATGGGAAATGAGATGATATCTACAACTGTACAGGTTTGTCCGTTCTTCAGCAGCCTCCCCACGTGAGGCGGGCCACATGGTCGGTCTTCTGTCTGGTGGACTTGATGAAGCCCAGAAACTCGAGTTCTGACACGGCTCGGATGAAACGGGCGCTACAGGACGAGCTAAGGAACCGGTTGTTTTGAATGGGAGTTAGCCAAAGTTTTTTTCACCACACAAGATAATTCCAGGAGCAGTTAATGTGTATTTTAGTACTCATCTCTCTCAAAATTCATCAGAATAACTGTCGCTGCACTAAGGTTTAACGCTGCCATCAGGAAGAACCTCCAGAATGATCAACAGCTTCATTCCACCAGCTGTCAGAATGCTGAACTGCTGATCTGGACATGAAAACACTTCTGTATTTAATTGCTGTTGATCCTGAAGAAACGCTCTCTCATCTTGATTTGATTTGACAAAAGTGGGATTCAGATCTCCAGTATCTTAACTTAGACAAACCTGAAATGTGTGATAAAAAAGAAAGAAAGACCCGAGAGAAAGGTCTGTACATCAAGTTCTGGAAGGATACTGTTTGACTTCATCCACTTTCCCGTAGCTGTCGGAATCTGGATCGGTACCCTCGGCTGCCGAGACCACGGTGGCGTACGCCTGAAAACAAACAAAGTGGTGTTTTCATTCATGTCAGTGTCCACGTCACCCCGGGCTGATCAATAATGGGACACTTCAGTCCTCATGATCAATCAATACTCGTCTCAGGAAGGAAAACAAACACTGTTAAAGTTTCTAAGGCAAAGTTGAACAGTGCAGTCATCGTAGTGATAAAACTGAGGCTCTACAAACATCATTGGTTTGTCCTTAGAAAGACGAACATGCTAATTACATGTAATGAGCGTGTCAGTAAATCATGTTGCATGTAAACTCACCTCCATCCAGTCGTACAGGTTGATCAGTCGGCCGCACTCCAGGTGGAGCTTGTATGCGATGCAGATATCAGGAGCTGCGTTAGAAACCGTCCCGTCTTCAGTCTTCAGGCTCTCGTTCTGTAAAAGAAAAGCTGCTGTTTGGTGCGAAGGAACAGGTTTTTATACTTTCAATTAACGCGATCCTTCTCTGATGATAAAAGCAACGTTAAAGCGTCAATCTGCTTCACCAGCTACGGTACAAAATAAGGCTTTGTTTTAGTTTGTCCTCGTGGAGTCAGACGTACCTGCAGATAGTAGTAGGGACTGCTGAGCGCTGCCTGAATGGAGGTACGAGGTGTTGCGTTGAGGTGGCGCCTCACGACGGCAGACGAGCTGTAGTAGCAGACTTCATGCAGCGTCTGAGACTCCGGGGGAGACAGGTGACTCCTGGGTGGGACAGAAACACAACATGAAGCATTTATTCTGTATTTACGTCCCACATTCAGCAGCGCCACAGCGTCGCTCGTCTTACTTCACCAAACTGTCCACAAACTCGAGGGCTTCGTTCCTCAGAACCTCGAACGGACTCAGTTTCTTCGATCTCCGAGACTCGTTCATCTCCAGCAGCGTCTGCAGTCGGGATAATAAGAGTATCAGGAAATCATCAGCTCTACTGAGGTGGACACAGTGGAGATGATGGTGGTGGTGGTGGTGGTGGTGAGCTACCTTCTGCAGCTGGAACAGGTCGGTTTTCTTCTGAAGGTTTTTGATCGGAGACGTGACGCTGTCGTCCACGGTCGGGGCCATTTCAGTGGCAGCTGCTGTTAGAAACAAGGCAGAAGAAAGAGATCGGGATGCTTTACTTGAAGGACCTGATTCCACTGTTTGATAGGAGCCTGTCCCAGGGTGAGAAGTATCAAAGGAAACCTGAGAATCTCTGTAAAACGTAGTAAACTTTTCACAGCTTACTGTCCAGCTGCTTGAACCTGGCGAGCAGCTCCTCCAGCTGAGCAGCAGCTTTGTTCATTTTCTTTGATTTGGTGGACTGCAGGGTCTCTGCACACCTCTGCAGCAAAGCAATCAGCTCGTCTTTCGCCAGCATCCTGAAGAGAAAGTACAGCAGGTTAATGACTGAATGCTACAGCGGCACTTCTGTTTATCTTTCTGTTGGCTTATTCAGCGGCCTCCTGCAGGACAAACACAAGTGTCAACAACAAAGGCACAGGGATGTTTTACACCGTTTAAAGGACTGTTTGGCCACCAGGAGGCGCAATAACTCTACACATATCCCTGACCTGTTGGCCATCTGGTGGTAAGACACGTAAACAACATTTATTCAGGAACTTATTAGGAATAATTGCTGCAAATGAGGCGTGCCTGTGACAACATGTATTGTAAGAACAGCAGCTTGAGTCATTTTTTAAAGGCTGTGACCGTCATCCACTTGTTGACACACAAGTTAAGCATCCAGACTTACTTGAGAAGCTTCATGGCTGACTGGTAGTCCTCGTTCTCCCATACATTCTTCTCCAGACATATTAAGTGAAGCTCCCTGATCTGGAACACAAAATAATCCACGATTATACCAAAGTAGATATAACTCTGGCAACACAGAGCCAAAATATTACATTGTTTAGGAATTAAAACAGCCAACTCTTGCCTGTTTCCCGAGAGGATATCGAGGTAGCGCTGAGGTCAGAGTGTGGAGACACCTCAGGACGGGATAGTAGTGCTTGTGGTACCTGTGAAAGCCTTTTATCAGTTTCTGACACTCCTCCTGAAAACAGAGGAACAAACTTTGTTTAAAAACCTTTAAATGTTCAGATATGTGTGAAGGTAAAACAGAGAATGTACCTTTAAATGGCCGTCATCCGTCATCAGCTTGACTTGTTCCTGTGATTCCTGCTTCTCTACATACCTGCAATAACACATTTAACCACATTTAAAGGTTTTGTTTTGCGTTTGAAAGGGTCAAGACGAGCTGATAAACTGCACGACATCATACAAAAACCTGTCACCGCTGTTTGTTTTGTCAGATGATTCTGTGTTTGTACCTCCTGAACGAGGGCAGCTGCCTGATCCTCTCCAGGTCGCCGTGGCTGAGCTGTGTCAGGTTCAGCAGAGCCTCCTTCTTCTTACAGCAAAGCACACTGAGAGGCTGAGAGTGGAAATGCTCCAGCAGGGCCAGCTGCACGGAAACACAGCAGAAACTTTGCCTCACAAGTTTTTTTTAATGTCTGAACTAGACAAACCAGAGGACAGACTGAGGAGACGTCTAGAGGGCTGCCTCATACCTGTAAGCCCTTGATGAAGTTTCTCACTGAGAAGTCGTGGTAGAGGAAGATGCTAATCAACACCTGCATCACTTTCCCGTTGAGCTTGAACGGGAACTGATGCGTCAGGATCAGCTGGAAACAAATGAGACCAAAAATAATGTGAGATTCATTTAAAACTGAACCAACAGCACAATAATACATTTTACTACAGGATTCATGAGTAGGGACAAGATGATATGTTTTACTAGAAACTGAAAAGTCATTAGTTCTGTACCTCCTTGACACTTTCCAGCAAAGAAAACAGCATCAGCACCTGTTGTTGTGCTATGATTATGACGTACACGATGTGATACAGGTAATCAGATTACTGTGTCTGTTGTGTAATTACAGGTTTATGGAGCCCAAACTGCAAGAAACATCCCAAACGGATCATTGCTGTCCTAAAGCCAAGGTGACAGATTCTAGAAACACTCTGATGAAACACTGATAATGCAGAAAAGCAACGACTAAATAAGTAAAACATGACAAACGTCAGTTGAGACGCACGCTGCAGCAGTTGTACTCGTTACAGTCAAGACTAACAGTTGTGTAAAACCACATCAGTGCTGAAGCTGTACGACACTGAGTTTGATAAAGTCTGCAGCTGTAAGAGGGAAGCAAAGGGGTCTCATATATCAGAGTAAGATTAAAATAAATGTGAGCCTTTACTCAGAGGTAAGAAGGTTCTGGAAGCCACAACACGATGCAGGCGTCTCCTACATGTGTCAGAGTGAAGCTACCTTGTCGATGACGGTGGCCAGGTGCTGTGTGCAGGACAAGGACTGGAAGAGCTCGATGCACAGCAGGGACGACACGGAGTGAGGCAGCATGTGCTGGATGGTGCTCGGTGACGTGGCGATCCCAAAGATGAACATCAGAGGAAGGCGTTCGATGTACCGGCTGTGGATCAGAGTTCTCTGAGATGCTGCTTCAACTTACAAATGGCTGTCACTGATTAGTCTATTTAAATGTTTCTGACAAGGTGACGGATCAAAGCTTCCTCAGAGGAACATTTAGCGAAACACCAGGTGTGTGTTGTTCACGACTCATAATAAACTTCCTTCTGTTACAGTGTGCAGACTGATGACATCATTAAACAACACCGTGACAATTCAATTACTCAGCTGTCTGGTTTTTAGCTACCTGCAGATGAGAATGAAGTCCTGAAGAACTTTGGGGTTAAAAGCCTCCAAATCTTTGAATATAATGACGACAGGTGGCTGCTGCTGCTGCTGCTCTCTGGCTGGAGAGCTGCGCTTCTTTCCAGGCGTCCCACTGCTGGATTTCTGATGTAGATATTGAAGACTTTTTATTCGTTCACCAAAATGCAAACGTAAACCTGTGCCCTTTAGCCGAGCTTCGTGCTCCTACCTTCGTCTTTGTGATGTACCAGTCGCAGAGCGTACTGAAAGAGCAGTGCACACTCTTGTGGAGCTGAACGCCGCTCTGCTCAGTCTCCTCCTCTTCGTCATCATCCACAGCCGTATCCATCAGCCTCTCCAGGACTCGCTTCATCAAATGCTTCATTGCTGAAATCATAAACCAAACGACATAAAGCACAAAATAACTCCTGACCATTAACCTAAACTAGGAAAGGACTAGCTGTCTTGTAATTTTAACGACGTACCTCCACATTCTTTGGCTTGAACCGAGGCCACGTGAGGAGTGACGGACTGCTGGAGCAGCTCAGACAGACTCTGGAAGGTCATGTCATGATCTGGGACGTTCACACCTACGGAGGAAATCAACGGCAGGTCAGACAGGAAGTAGAAAGGAGCTGCAATGGTGCAACTCCGACATCAAATATTCCTGTGTTATCACCAGCATACCAAGAACTAGAGCTGCTGTGGGGATCTCGCTGGCCCTCATCTGCGACGCCCAGTCGCTGTGCTGTCGAGTGGAAGAGCACTTCCTGGTGAAGTCCAGCAAACTGTCCAAGATTTTCCTGTTGAGTTCATCCTGCAAAACCTTACAAGAAGTACACAAATATATTGTTGAAATGATCTGACAAGTTGCTGTTCTGCCTGCAGACCTAACAGCAGTGGTGGAAATAAAAGTGCATTTACTCAAATACAATTTCCATTTAATACTACTTTATATTTCTACTCCACTACATTTATCGGACAGTTTTATTTAAGATGAACATTTTACAGGATAGATAATATAACAAGCTTTAAAAATACAAAACCAAGTTAAAGATTAAAGCAGTTTTAAACTTTTTCTGGCTTGTGTGTGGTCAGGGTCCCGCTACAGATGAGTTGCTAACAGCTCCACGATGTTGTGATTTTCCAAACTGAGCTTCTTACATCAATAAATGTTCAAATGATTCAGCATCTCATCAAATAAAATTAAGTCCAAACACTGAAAACAGACTTCTTTTCTCTCCCATTAATCATCTGATGACCTCTCAGGTTAACCCGGTGCCTCTTTATGTTAAACTATAGATAAAGTAGTTAAACTAGCTCCACCTGCAGCAGCTAAAACGTCTTACACACTGATGCTTCTTTTAATAATCTAATGATGTTATACTGTCGTCCTGTAATTCATTCCTACCCTCCCATTAAATAAGGAAAATAAACAGCTTCAGTCACTGAAATAAGTTGAAATTGACAAAAGTAATAATAAATAAAAATTTAATGAAAATCATAACATTGCTTCTGAATTGTGGTTCAACAGAAATATAACATATAAATAATAATAATAAAAAAACAAGCATGATGGGACCCTCTGGACCCACTGCTCATCATCATTTGTCCAGGACAGTTTTTTTTTTTTTAATTATTCTTTTCAACCACAATTCAAAAGCAACGTCTTATTTCACTAAATTACCATTTTGCAAATTTTTATTTATTATTACTTTTTCCAGTTTCTAGTTATTTAATGGTGAATTTTGCCTTTTCTTTAATGTTAAGGATATGAATAAATTCGAGCACGACTGTATTTCTAAGTTGTTGTTGTGATGCTTTCATTTAGCTAAACGGACGTGAACACTTTTTCTACCACTGCCAATGAGTTCTGTCTGCTCAGTAAGTCTGGATCACTCAACATCATCACCAGTTCTGTGGTGGTACCGTCCTTACCCCGGTCTCCGTCTTGATTCGGTCCCACAGATGCTGACAGAGGCCGAACCGCGCCTCGCTGCTCTGGGCTCCCTCACAGCCGTCCGTGAAGTAGCTCTCTGCGGAGGAACCACAGCAGCACCGGGTCAGACACCACCGGGTCAGACACCACCGGACAGACAACTTCACCGCGACTTAAACATGTCTCACCCAAACTCTGCAGCTTCTTCTTCTTCTTGGCGCTCGGCTTGAAAACGAAGCAGCCCTGAAACACCGGTTCGGTTCCAGTTAGACAGCGCTGTGGCCATGTTGTTGTCACTATCTTATGGGCTTTAACAACTTTAAAGCGACGTAATTTATCCACATTACCTTCGACACGGATGAAGTAGACATCTCGGCAGCAGCTACTGTAAACAGCAGCTTGTGTTTGTTAAATTTAAGCCAGTTTCTTTCGCAAACAGCACCTTAAATATGTACAAATGTGTATAAAATGACGGCCGGGTTTAGTCTTACACGGTACCTACTTCCCGCCACTGGGACGTTTACGGAAAGGGTTGCGTTCACGAACAAGCAGCTGCGAAAGCGAGCGCGTTAACAGTTTTGTCAAGTTTTAAAGCGTCCCTTTAGATTTCCACTTGCTTTCACAACCTCTAAAAAACAAGAGTGTACAGTCAAACGTTGGTTTAGTTTAACAACGAGCAGCGTTTTCTCTTTACACCGCAAAGGGTGATTTTTTTTAAAACACTGCCGCTCTTGAACGAAGCCTCGGAGCAGCTCCGGCGTCTCCTCACTGTCCTGCAGGTCCACGTTGGTCTCAGGCTGCCAACAATGGAGATGATCAGGGTGTAAGCATCAGTTTAAGCAGCCTAAATGCCCTGATTTAGTCACGTATTTCATATTTAGCTTAGTTAATTATCATCGCACAGTAGGAATTATGTGCGTAATGCATATTGTTAGTCTGTTTTTGCATACATTTAGTTAGTGTTGAGAAATATAAATTGCAGTTGCATAGATTACAGCTGTTTCTTATGTGCAGATAGCAAAAAAATAAATAAACAAAGCTCACATTAAAGCCAGACTGCGTCAAAAAGCTCCTGTATGAAACTATAGCAGTAATGCAGTTGGGTGACAAATTAAAGGAAAAACCCTGAACCCCTGATCCCTAAAACGAGGGGATCTGGTGGCTCAGTTATTCTGGGGAGGGCTTTTTTTTTTTCTTTTTTTGCTAATATTGTTTGAGTCCTCTTGTTCCCAGCGAAGTGGAGAAAAGGTCACTGCAAATCAATGCAAAGTTAATGGAACATTTCTATCCTGATGGGAGCAGCGTCTTCCAGGAGGATAATGGCCCTGTGCATGGGAAACGAGGGGTCAATGGGGTTTAATGAGGATGAAAACGATGCGAATCGTGTGCTGTGGTATGAAACCACGACAAGACGACAACTCAGCCTCCATGGGAGATGTTGGACGTAGATATTAGACGGCGATCTCTACCATCATCCAAACAACAAATGAGGGAATGTCTTGTGGAAGAGTTTTCATCCTCCAGTACACTTCTAGAGACATGGAGATGTACTGCCAAGATGCAGGGACTTGATGTGGTTTTTTTTCTGCTTTAAATTTGTCACCCATCTGTATTTTTCTTATGAAATCTTGCAAACTTTCTCTGAAAAGAACCACTGCCAAAGATGAATTTAAGTAATCGCTCTCAAATGATGTGTCAGGCAATAACATATTAATCAGAGACAACACACTATAGGTCATAAATGCACATATATGTTCTATATATCTCACCAAATGTCTTTTTTCCATTCAGATTGTACACTGAACCAACTGCATGGCGTCACTGTGGGGCTGAGCACTAAGCCCGACAGGCTGCAGAGCAAATCTACTGTAACCAAATTATGTAAATACAAGGCGTGTTTGAGGAAAAATGGAAGCTGTGCAGTCAGTACTTTACAAAAGAACCAGTAACATTTTATTGAACACTTTGTGGAAGACATGTAAATATTACAGATAGGTCTACTAGTGTTGAAAAAGGATAAAATAAATACAAACAGAACTTGAAATCCCATAGGGATATATAAAAACATAGTTTTCTTTAAAAGTCTCCATTTAGCAAAAGAAAAAAAAAACATCTTCAGTACTAAGCATAAATACAAACATGTTTCTAAAATCTATGCCCTATAGATTACCTGGTTATTATAACTAACATACATACTTAAAATCATCCGAGACATTTTTTCAATAAGTACAAAATAGGCCATTTCATCGTTAACTGTGACCAGGACTGTTAACAGTTGGAAATCTGATGCATTAACAAACAAACCATTCTGCAGCATAACTTCTCAAATCCTGAGTAAGATTGAGTTGAAAACAAGATATCGGGCTATGATCCGCTGTAAAGCCACTTCTTTATTATGACTATGGGCCTCATGTCTTGTAGCTGCTTCAGCAAAAGATCAGCACCGTCTGAAAATGTTTTGTCCATGACAATCTTAACGTTACTCACAGATTTGAGATTTAGGGGATTTCTGAAGTCTACAAGATTCTCATAGCCTCTAAATTCACCAGTTATTTTGCTTTTCATTGCAGATTTCCTTTTGTAAGTTTGCTGTCTTTTGGGCGGCAGTTCAGCACTAGATTTATCGTTTAGTTTGCGTTTGGAAGATTGGGTTGACTCTGAGGTTTCCAAAAACTTAAGGAAAGAGTCCTCAAGTCCTAAAGGCTTGAAAGACCCCGGCATGACCCCATCGTCACGCTGCTCTTGGGCCGTGGGGGTACCAGGATTTGAGTTCTCTCTTGAACTGTTAACAGTCACACGGTTCCTAAGGGTCTGCATCCTTTCTGGACAAGCTGGTGTGGGTTGTGCAGGTTTTCTGGGACGGCCTCTTTTAGCTCCCACTTCTGTCCCAGTGGAAGCTTGAGATTCTGCACTATCCTCGCTGGACTGCTTGCTGTCCTCTTGGCCTACTCTTTCCACCTGCTCCTCCGGTTTCTGGTCACTGGGCTTTTCGGCTTCCTCCGGCTCCGTCTCCTCGGAGGATGAACTTGACGCGCCCTCTGCTTTGCTTGCGTCTTTGCATCTGGCGCGCGAGTATTTTTTGCAGAAAATGAACTGACTCCTCTGGTCTTCGATGTACCTTTCTGTGAGGCCATGAGTGGTGTAATGCTTAAATATGCTCCGCTCGGCGCGCTCCACGGCGTCGCAGCCTATGATCATGCACGGGTACTGCAGGGCAGACTTCTTGGTGCACATGGCTGACGCCTCTTCGTGCGATTTTAGTGTTGGCTTTCCGAAACTAGTCCAGTGCTCGATGGACTTTCCGTCTTTCTTTTTAGTGTTTTTCTTCTTCAGTTTGAATTTGTTTTCTACGTTCTCTTTCCCGTTGGTGACCCCCGGGAAGAGCCCTACAGATTTAGTCCTTCTTCCGTCGCTCGTTTTGGGATCATAGACATAATCGTGCTTTTTGATCAGGTGGCGAAGGAGGTTGGATTTTGTAGTGTACACACGGTCGCATCCCTCGTACTCGCACCGGAAAGTTGGATCGACTGAGCCGCTCTCAGAGATGGCGATTTCCTTGTGGTAATTCTTTATGTGCTCGATGTACTTCTCCACGGAGTTAAAGGGGAGAGCGCACTCCGGCCGGTCACAGTTAAACGTCCCTATGGTCATGCTGGCCATCATGGAGGTGGCTTTGTCGCGCGTGAACTTGTGAAGTAAGAGGTAATGTTGCACTAACCTTGTGATTCCCATAAACACCCTTGAACAGTTTTTCACTTGACATCTGACTTCGTTATCTTTCGCTATGCTCTCATTGCTCTCCTTTGCGTTGTTGACGGTCGTCTTTTCAGAGTCAGGTTCGGTTTTGCTAGCAGGCAGCGACGCCTGATGCATGGCCCTGTAGTGGAGGATCAAATTGTGCTGGATGGTGAATGCCGCAGTGCATCCTTCGTGAACACAGCGATATGGTCTATACGGACTGTAGGCATTGTCTGAGTCACACATTTTCAGACTTAATCTCTTCTGAAGCTTGTCTTTCCTCTCATCCTTGGTTGGCGTGTTTTTGGAGCTGCTGGGTTTCTCTGGGGAGGATGAAGCAGATGCAGTGGAGGACTTTGGCTCTTTTACTTTACTCAAGGACACATCTGGTCTTCCTTGTGGCACCTTTGCTTTGCCAACAGGACTGAGTTTCTCTTTCAAGCTGGATTTCAGGTTCATGTCCGGACTCCTGTTTGTAACAGTCACATTTGGTTGCTCCGAAGCGTCGTCGGGAGCAGCTGGAGCCATTTCCCCAAACGGCCGCTCCGTCAGATAGTTCTGAGGTGATGGAAGTCGTGTAACAGTTAATACCTCAGGCGTCAAGCCCTGCGTTTCTGCATCCCCTGGAAGGATCTGAGCAACATCTGGATTGTTCTCACTGTCCGGCTGAGGTGCGATTGCGATGTCGAGTGGTTCTTGTTTGATAGCAGGTATTACAGGTGCAGGCTGAGCTGTGCGACTGGTGTTGGCGTCAGTGGTTGGACGTTTAATCAGTGTTTCATCTTTGTTGAGCCTGAATGCACGTCTGTTTCGAGCACTGATCCTTAGCTTCTGCATTTCCGCCTTTGACAATCGGTGGACTTTCTCGTAGTGAATCCTCAGCCCCGTTGTTCTCGTGAACGTTTTTGGACAAATCTGACAGGGGTACGGAGACAGCTTGGATGGGGTTCTCTTCAGCTCGTCTATCATCTCGTTAGAATAATCGTGCATCTTACTCAGGTGTTTGAACAGCGCCTCCTTTGTCATGAATGAGTACTCACAATCATCCTGGTCACATTTAAAAGGTTTCGGTACCTTTTCCATGGGCTTATCGTCACTTTTACTCACTATTTTGCTCTTTTCCATGTCCGGGGTTGGATTGCAGTGACTGACGTTTTGCTCTAAGGACATAGCGCTCCGCATCTTCTCTTGAGCAGCTTCAATCAAATCCAACCTTTGAAAGGCATGAGAAATTTCCATCAGGTGATCCTCCTGATAAGGTACAGTCAGGCCTGGATTAGCCAAATCCACTGCCTTCTCTTGCTGGTTTTCAGGGGAAACTGAGAAGGAGTTTGAATAGTCCATGATATTAGTATTCTGGGGCTCCTGTTTCAACACCATAGGTGAGGTCAGAGTGGTCAAGCTACAAGATTCCTGTGAGAAATCACCATTTGGCATGTTGTATATTGCTCCGTTAGTATCGGGTACGTGGGGGTCATTGAGGAAATCAAGAAACGACGTTGGCAGATCTGCTGTCAGGTCAATTTCATCCAAAGGTCTGCACTGTGAGCGCTTAGACAGGTGACCGCCCAGAGACTTGGTGCTCGTGAACTCTCTGAAACACCTCCTGCAGATGACCTTGCCATCCTTAATGATTGCTGGCCATTTGGTGCGCTTGCTGAGTCTGCTGCGTTTTCCTTTCTGCACGTCAGCGTCACCAGCCTTGTCGTCTGACGGGTTCGCCTCAC